CTAAGAGAAGGAAGGGATGGTAGGTTGTGGCCACAGGGTGGGTGGTGGTAGATTGTGGCGGAGGAGTTAGTATGGAGTGCTGATGAATAGTGGATTGAAGAAAGAAAAAGGGTGGAAAGATGGGTTTTCTCGTGGTGGTCGACTTCTTGAGTCCAGATCCTTTAGAGTGATTTTTTGTATGGTTGGGATTTTTTTTTTAAGTGATCATCAATACCATTGTACCCTCAACTTAGTAATATTGTATCCTCAACTTTTGTAAAATCTCAACCATTCAAATAACCACTCTACGAAAAATCACTCTAGAGAATCCCGATTCCAGCTTCTTGGTGGTGTTTGTAACATGTTGTCACATGTGGGAATTAGAGAGAGATGAATAAGAAGGTGAAATGGAATGTGAGGGATGAGGCATGCAAAATGAATTACAATGGGTTGGTAGGGAAGGGTGTATTTTTGTCATTTCACAACTTCTGTTAACAGAGTTAACTTTTGAGGCCCATCAAGGGAGGCTGGTATCATTTTCCTATACTAGTAGGGCTGGCTGTAATTTTGGTAATTGTCAGGGGAGGTCTGTGTAATTTGCCCTTTAAGATTTCTGATGAAATACCCAAGTTACTTGGGTGTGCTAAAGTATTGAGTTGCTGTGATTTATCAACTAACATTTAGGTGGGTAGCTTATTCTTGTTTTCAAAAATCTTTTTTCCTAGAAAATGTTTTCAAGATGGCAACCAAACACCAGAAAAAAAGTGAATCATAACCATTTTACGTGAAAAAGTTTTACGTCAAAACAAATGGAGCCTTAATAACATTTTTAACACCAGCTTTATCCTTAGTCCAAGGTTTTATAAGTAACAAAAATGATAAGATGCACCAAGTATTTCAGTTTTGGGTTATATATTAAAATAAAAACAGAAGAAAAACAAAGAAAAAAAAGAGACCATGTCCAATATCCAAAACTGTAATTCATGTTGAAACAGTCTCCATCTGAAAAGAAAGTCTCAATCCATTTTTGCAGTTTCTTATCATTTTCCTAATTGCTTCTATAGTTTGTTCTGGGAGTCTTTCAGAAGTACCCAAGGAAAAACAAGCTACTCGAGATACGCTTGATCCTTATTAAGATTGTCAGTGCATTGTAAATGAACCAAGCACATGCTATGTGTAGATCACACTAGAATACATATGAAGCACACATAAAACAGTATATTCAGAGAGGAGACAGAAAATAAACAGAGTACGATAAACAGTATGTAGGACAGAATAATCAGGCATATGAGATCTGTGAGACGTGTATTCACTGTCCTAAAGTCACCATTCCTCCTCAAGGAAAAGCACAAATGATGGATTGCAACAGGTCCAAGAGTCCACCCAGATGCTCACAGCCTCTTGTAGAGTTATGTCCACCATGAGGCAGGATTTCAAATATTGGCAAATAAGAATTGGGATTTTGGATTTCTGTTACTGATATATGGGCCGATACTCCTATATAACTGATACCGATACATATCCCCATACCATTACTCCACACACTTGCATTTTACCTTAAAACTCACATCCCCTTATAAGTTCTACTTGAGGTTCTACTCTCTTATCTTCAGCAACACTATAACTAGTAGGAGTTTCACCAACTTGACATGAAATTCTAGTTTGGGAAGGATGGATGTGTTCAAAGAATGTGGCAATCTAAACACTATTATAGGGTTATTGGATATTTCACTAATCTTGTAACTAACCACTACTATTTTGGGCATATCTTAAGCAAACAGTATCCATAGTTTTAGACCTTATTTTCTTCCTCTTGGGTTCAGCCATTCAAGAATGACTACCTTAGCTAAACACCCCACGACCCTCTCTTCTTCCAAATCTCATATGGGGTCTTATCATTATCTTTTATAGTTACTCTATTCAAGATAAAAACATGCACTCAATATTCCTCCATCCCACAAATTTTCAGATAATCTAGAACTTGACAACATTGCCTAAACCATATTCATCAAAGCTCTATTTTTTTTTTCCCCCTTTCAACTACCCCATTAGATTGAGGTCAATAAGGTGGAGTTACTTGACGTATTATTCTATGCTCTAAACAATAACCAGTAATATCAATTAGGTTATAAATATAATCTTCTCATTTATCAAATCCAAGTACCTTGATTGTTTCCTCTATGATTATCAACCTCAATTTTGTATATCTTCAAGTTACTAAAGTCCCCATCTTTGGTTTTGCTGAAATAGATGTAAAAATACCAACTGTGTATTAATTCTAGAAGTTGGATATTACTTTCTACACTTGAAAGGTTTCCTAGTTTGTTTGGCTTGTAACATGTTTCACACTTTAGTTTTAAATCCACATGAGACTTAGGAATATGATCAAGGTTCATTGTTATTTTCATTTTCTATAAACTAATAGTAAGATGTCCCAATCCTCCATACCATACATCCCAAGATTCAACACTCAAAACTTGAGAAGAATGATCACATTCGTAGGAAGGGAAGGTTACATCTTATAGCTACAATGAAGGATTGATGATATAATTAGAATGGGAGGCTTATAATCAAAAGCAGAGATTATAGAAATAAAAATTTAGACTTCAAGACCATACGAAAGGACTGCAATATTTAATCTCCCTCTTTTGTAATACCATTGCCATGGGAAACAACTAAATAGTGAATACCCAAAGTATAGAAAATGTTTGAGACTCCTAAAAGAGCTCCCCTAATTTAACCCATAATGATATAGCATGATAGGTGTTAACTTTTAATTTGTTACACACTCAACCTAAGAAGCACGGACACGGATGCAGATACGGACATGGGACACGCTTGGTTGAGACAAAGGTTCTGCCCCAAAAGTGTCCTACTGGACCATGTAAACAGAGGTGATGTCCACTTGCTACTTCTAGAGCAATAGAGGGAGTGAAGTGAACTAACAGTCGACTGAACTTAATGATAGATTGAGTGAGCATGCACAGCAACCTATCTGAATGCACTTGAAATTAACAAACCTGATTAGTAGCATCGGGCTCACGTTCTCTACTAGATATGGGTGATTTTGCAGCTGACGAATTCGAGGTGAAACTGATCTCTCAGTCAACCTCCTCGAAGTGGTTTGTCAACCACGCTTCCCCTCCCTCAAAACAATGCTCCTCACCTATGAAGCACGGACATCTCCCCGAGGCTTGCGTATGACTATCGAACACATATCGGACACGGACACATTCTAGACACATGTCCAACACTCTCTCTAAGGTGTCCCCTTTTCTTTTTGAATTTTTTGCAGCTAGCCACATTTTGGACACCATCAAAGTAGAGGAATCAAAGCGCCTGATAAAGGCTATCCATGGAGGAGAGTGCGGAGCGCACATGAACGGAGTAATGTTAGCCTGGAAGATTCTCAGGCAAGGTTACTATTGGTCTACCACACTACTAGAAAAATAGGTATAAGACATGGAACATTTTGCAACAGCATATTAACTGTCGCAAAAAGTAATCTTTTGCGACGACTAATACCTCGTCGCCAATGATCACTTTTTGCGACGGCATTTCCTGTCTCAAAAGATAGAAGGATATATTGGATGGTTTTTACGATGGCAAACTATTGGCCATCGTGAAAGACCTATTTTTTTGAGATGGCTTTTTCTCTCGTCGCAAAAAGATTTTTTTTGCCATGGCCTTTCTTGTGTCATGGCTAATAGACCAAAAAAAAAAAAAACGCTTCTTATTCTTTCTCTCTATCATGCCTCTGTCTCTCCTAAACATTACCTGCCTCCTCCCCTCTCTCTCTCTCTCTATTTATTATTTTCTTCTTTTTTTTCTTTTTTCTCTCTCTATTTGATTATTTTTTTTCTTTTTTATTTTTGGTTGAATGTAACCTATTTTTTATGCTTTCTATGTTCTTGTCTGAACCTGAAAACAAATTAGTTTTATTCGAAGAAAAAATCAAACCATTGACATTGATTAGTTTTATTTGAAGAAAAAATCAAATTGTTGACATTGCTAAAATTATTAATTTTAATGATATGTGTTTATTAATTTTATTATAGGAACCAATTTTTTATTCTGAAATATACCTTCTTTTTTTTCTTTTTTTTTTAGTTAGGGGTTTTTTTTTATGAAATATTGGTTGGGTTTGAAGTGATATAGTATAGAGATGATGTGACCTATGAAGCACGGACACTCCAAAATTGGTGCCGTGGCGGTGTCCAACACGCAGGGGACACGCGAACACGTACAGGACACGCCAGATGGCGTGTCCCTTTAATTTAATGTTTTTTTTGAAAGGGGACACGGCAGGGACACGCGTGTCCACATCTGGAAACGCTATGGGACACGACGGGGCTCTTTTTTGAATTTGTTATATGTATTTGGGGTCAACGTGTAATATTTAAAAAGCAAAAACTGAGGGTGAAGAAATATAGTGAACCTACGAAGACCTTCTGAGTAGAAGCCCTCTCTCTCTCAGTCGATCGAAGCTCTCTCTCTCAGTCGTCTCAGTCGAAGCCCTCTCTCTCTCTCTCTGTGGTCTATTTTCGACTTCGAAGGTAAACACTAATTTTTATTTTTATTTTTATTTTTTTTTATACGTTTATATATATATATATATATATGTAAGAGTTAGACTGATTTTTATTTCTTTATATATAAATTTATATATATGTAAGATTTTTTTTTTTTATGTTTATATATCTAAAACTAAAACTGTAGTTTTTAAAAAAAAAAATTAATTATAGGTTTATATATATATATACACACAGTATGTAAATTCTTTTTTTTTTTTTTTAATCCTTCTAATGTTAATGTTAATTAATAGGAAAAATGTCTAGTTCAAATTCTACCAATAACACACAATCTGCCTTTGATGCTGCAGATGATAAACCACTGTGGAAATATGTGACTAGATTAGAAAAATCTGGTCCAAGAGGGGGGAATTATTCTTTTCAATGTAACTTTTGTCAGGCTACACGTAAAGGTCCATACACTAGGGTAAAAGGGTAAAAGCCCATTTGATGCAAATAACAAATCAATGGATAGAAGTGTGTCCAAAAGTAACAAGTAAGGATAAAGCTGAATTTGTGAGAGTAATTGCAGAAGCAAAGTTGAAATTGAAAAACTCTAGGTTGAAGAAAGTCTCATTTCCTCCTCCTAGTTCAAGTGCATCATTAGGTTTATGTTTTAATGAATCAGAGGAGATGTATGGATCAAAAAGGAAGAGGTCAACCACTATAGGGAGTAGAAGTAGTAGTAGTAACCCTGTTATGAAAGCATTTAACATTGGAGCTCGAGAACGATTAAATAGTGAGATAGCTAGAATGTTTTATTCAGCAGGCTTGACATTTCATTCGGCAAGAAATCTTTACTATATTAGTGCATTTACTTTTGCTGCAAATAACAACCTACAAGGATATGTACCACATGGGTATAACATGTTGAGAACTACGTTGCTTCAAAAAGAAAGGAATAACATTGATAGGTTGTTAGACCCTATTCGAGACACATGGAGAGAGAAGGGTGTGAGTATAGTCAGTGATGGACGGAGTGATTCCCAACGAAGGCCATTAATAAAATTTATGGCTGTTACTGGAGGTGGGCCTATGTTTCTTAAAGCGGTTGATTGTTCAGGAGAAACAAAAGACAAGTATTTTATTTCCAACTTGATGAAGGAAGTAATCATGGAGGTTGGGCCTAAAAATGTGGTTCAAGTCATTACAGATAATGCCGTAAATTGCAAGGCAGCGGGGCACCTAATTGAAGCACAATTTCCTCACATCTTTTGAACTCCTTGTGTTGTACACACCCTCAATCTTGCCTTGAAGAATATTTGTGCTGCCAAGAATGTGAAAAATAATTCAGTTGCATTTGAAGAGTGTAATTGGATTAATGAGATTGTGGGTGATGTGACGATGATCAAGGATTTTATTTGTAACCATTCCATGAGGTTGGCACTGTACAATGAGTTTGTGAGTTTGAAGCTTCTTTCAATTGCCGAAACACGCTTTGCTTCTTCCATTATCATGCTTAAATAGGATGATGTGACTTAAATAAGATGATGTGGCTTAAATAGGATAGTGACTTTTTGACTTTTTTAGGGGATACCAAACCTAACCTTAGTATTATTTTGCATTTTTATTACCGTTCAATGATTTGTACACTATGTCAAAGGTTTGGTGTATAACCAATCTTTTCCCTCTCAAACACACATTAATGTGTACTATTTGAGCATTATTTTATATTGAGCATGTCCCCAACGTGTCCATTTTTTGAAATTGTACGTGTTCTCGTGTCTATATCCATACTTCTTAGCTCCTCACCAAATGCCCTTCCTTGAGTTCGGGCAACACAACAATGAGTAGTTCGCTCCAGGACCCCCTCCCTCGAGAGCAAGATGTCAGCCGATATAGAGCTAGGAGCCAACCTATACTTTTCTGGGGCTTGCCTTGCGTATACATTCTTTAACAGTTAGGTATTTCGTGGGTCCTCCGTGGGTACAGGATGTGTACATCGTGGGTACACCAAGTTATAAGACATGGTGAAAATACATTTAATTTATTAGACAATTCTGATATATTTGAAATTGCAAATCCTTTACTTAGGCCTCGTTTGGGAACAAGCTAATTTAGTAACTTTTTGGCTATTTGGCTAAAATATGAACTAAAAAAAACTAGTATGTTTGGAATAACTTTTTTGCTTTTTACGAAAAGACGTGCAAAAAGTAGAAAGAAAAGAGAATTTTTGACTTTTTGGTATGGGTTGTTGAATTTTTGACTAATTTAGTAACTTTTTGACTTTTTAGCTAAAAGGGAGGGTTCCCAAACGAGGCCTTAATGTGTCAGAGATGAAAAATGTATTATTCAATAATAAAATTGATGAAAGTAAAAATTGAAATTTTCAAGTATCCAAATTTTACTTAACTTGCTTTTGAAATGAAATTTTATTTTGTAATTTCTCCTATTTAATGGCATTAACATAACTTACAGACTTTGCTTTGATCTTGGTATTGTTAAACTAGGATTTTTCTTTTGATTTTGTAATTTCTCCTTTTAGTTTGGTATTGAACTTTGATTTGTTGCTTGAATCTCAAACTAAATTATAAAAAAATAAAAAAAATTATTGATGTACCTTAACTGTACCCGTACTATACCCGTATCCTATTTCTTTTAAGTCTTGCAGTATCGGCGTACCCATAACATATCTGTACCAATACCTATACCTGTATCCTTTTTTTTTTTAAGTCTTGCAGTATCGGCGTACCCATAACATATCGGTACCCGTACAAGCACCCGTGCTTCATAGCTAAACACTAAGTAGCCCTCAAATTGTTCCTTCGTCCTTTTTGCAATTCCCTCCCCACATAAGTGGATATATGCCCTATTTACTAATAATTTGTATTCTATTTTTAGAAAATTGGCCAAAGAATTATAATATACAAACCATGTGAGGGGACTTCTCTACAGTATACATAGTTTGTTACAAGTGTTTTCATATGTAAAAGATGGAATGACAAAAATCAAAAGTGATTCAAGCAATATTTGGAAGAGTAACCGGAAAACTAAAAGAATTCATATAATCTCCTCAGATCAACAAGTTCATCGCAACAAAACATAGAGAACAACACTCAAATCCTTCCAAAAGAAATGAACAACAACAAAAATCCACATACAGATCATATTTATAATTATTATTGTCAACAATACAACAGAGAACATTATCTAATAGTGCTTGTCAACAATACAACAGAGACAAAGCAACAAAATCCAAATAACCCACAAAAGTCTGATCGAAGCGATTGAAACCCCTAAATAAATAAACATATGACAACACACAATAGTCACATTCAAAGAAAAATAAATAAAATCAATATAGCCATAGATGAAACTCACCACATAAAAGCCCAAATCAGCAACTGCAATCCTCATGCACTACAGTGTCAACTGGTACAACGACGTCCTTGTAGTGGCAAAGATAGGGTGCATCGCACCCCACATAAGGTCCTGTCCACCTCCCTTCAGCAATGTAGCTCGCGTCCCACACCGAAGCATACAAAAACATGGGTTTCTCAGGAAACCCTTCACCTTCCTTCTTTTTCACTCTCCTCACTGGTTTTCCACCAATGAACCACTCAATCACATCTGGGTACCACTTGATCACATACTCGTGAAACCCATCTGAACAATCAAACCCCAAATCATGAATTGCCTCTCTGTTCCCAGTCCCTGCAATCAAACAACAAAATATCAGCTAAAAAGCTTTCAAGGGATTGGAAAATTTTGGTATGTTGGTATTGTTGGGGGATATTTGGTTTCATGCTTGTAATCATTGTTGTCGAATCTTGAATCGTTTTCGTCAATATAACTAAATTATATATATGTATAAACAAATAAAATCAATTGCATCAATAAAATATTTGATCTTTTTCTTTATTTTGCAAAGATCACTTCATACATTATATGTAAACAAAACTGAATCGCAATTAAATTGTAAGGTTCATTCAATTTAAGAGTCAACTACGCTACATTTTGCTTGAAACTCGTATCGAATTGTATGAATCGAATACTGAATGTAAAATTGTAACAACTAATACCTGTAGTGTAGTAGTTGGTTTGGACAATGGTCTTGTCTTTGCCCAAGAATTCGAAGTCGATCTCGTCCTGAGACTTGTCGCCTTCGAGGGAAGAGAGGTAGATGTTGAAATTGAGGCCGCTAGTGTTGCCCTTTGGGCACTGGATTTTGGCACCGAATGTGCCGTAGAGGAAGCGAGTGGTGGAGCGCCACCGCGCGCCGCCACGGTGGTCGAAGGTTACTGTGATGGAGTCGGATTCAGGGAGGTGAGTGCAGACTTCGGGGCAGTAGTCGACGGCGATTTGTTTGAGGGTCTGGGTTTGGTGGGGTGGAGTCTCTGGGTGAAGTGCAGGGTCCGCCATTGGGGGGGAGAGAGAGGCTGGAGATGGCGAGAGAGTGTATTGGTCAAACAGGGAGTGATGCTGATCACTAGGGTAGTTTATGTTTCTTTTTTTTCTTTTTTTTTCTTTTTTCTTTTGACTTTTAAAATTTATTTTTTTGTCACTTTATCTTTTATATTTTAATTTTTTTTTTAATTTATTCTTAAAATCATTTTTATTAAAAATAACATAAAAAAATGACACATTGACAATTATGTGATATAAAAATATTTTATTATAATCTCTTTTAAAAACTAATTTTTTTATATAAAAATGTGTAGAAAAATAGGTAATGTATAATAGTGATTTTTTGGTTATATTAACCAAATGTCAAACACTTTCATATATAACTTGCATCACTAATATAAATTCAAATATTAATATAATAATATATTTTTTATATTATGTGATAATTATCGTGATATTTTTTGTTTAATTTCAAAAATAAATTAATTTTAAAACTAAATTTTTTTTTAAAAAAAAGCATAAAATATGAAGGATCAGAACAAAAAAAATGAAAAAGTCACCAAATATAAGGTCACAAAGTGTAATTTACATTATTACAATTGATCTGATTTTTAGACCGTTAGATTTCAGAGTGAAAGTTATAGTCTAGTTATAGTGAGTCGGTGACGAATGTAAACTTCTAAAGGGCATGTTTGTTTAGCGGGCAAGTTTGTTTACCTTGGTTGGTGATAATATGGGAGGAGGATTAATTAGTAATCTTTCTTAAGAAGGAGATTAACTTGATTAGATTTTGAATAAGATTAGAAAAATAGTGAATAAATTTAGTCTATTTTATATAAAAAAATAATTTTTTTAATTTTATTTTATTTTATCAAGTGCACCAATTTATTTTAATATTGTTTTAGTTTTTTTAATATAGAAATAATTTTTTTATTTATTTTATATATAAATAATTTAACAATCTCATTAATAATCATCTCTCACACTATCTTCAAAACAAACACAATTTTACTTAATACCCTCACTAACAATCTTCACATTAATAATCTCTTCACTAATGACCCTCTCACTAACAATCACATCTAACCTAATTCGCCAAACAAACGTGACCAAAGTGTAAAAGATAAAAATAAATAAAAATAAAAATAAAAAGAAGGTAATATTAATCTTTATAAAGCTAAAAAAATTCATAATAATAAAATTCAAAAAAATCAATAAAGTTGATTACCTTTTTTTCCTTTAAAATATAATTTTTATGTTATTTTGATCTCAATATTTAAATTATGTCAATCTAATATTTTATTTTATGAAAAATTAAAAACTTTGTTATTTGTTAACATGAGTTATATGAAAAAATTATAAAAATATTAAAAATTTTAAATGAATTATTAAATATTTTACTAAATATTCCAATCCATGCTAAACAAATTGAAGAAATGTTTCATATATATATATATACTAGTGTATGCACGTGCCTGAAGTCACGGTACAATTAATTATGAGATTAAAATATAAATTAAGATTAGAGAGGAATATATTCAAATTTTTTGTTTTTTGTTTTTTTTGTTTTCTTTTCAAAGAGTAGGTAATGAATTCACAGAAAATAGAAAAATTTCTAAATGAAGACATGAAGCTTAAATGAAACACCAATTTATTAGTAACTCAAATAAATTTCAGGAACCCCCAAAATTAGGAACCTCCATGACTCCCAAAATGATGTAAACCAATCATATATTTTTATTTTTTTTCTTTCCTTCCTGGACCAATCATAGGTGAGTGAGAGTTATAAAGTTGTATTTTTTAAGAATATGTAGCATTTTTTATATTTTTAATAAAAAAAATCTTCCCAAGATAAATTGCACTTCCCCAAATTACAATCTCTCAATTTTCTCACCCACTCTCTCTCCTCTTCTCTATTACCTCAATCTCTCTCCCCCAAAGACTGTGATGCGTTACCGTTGTGCACTAAAATGCTATGAACAATTGATAAAAAAAATAAAATAAAATAAAATAACTCTAACTATCCATTTGGTTTGCTCAGATGAACACACCATGAAATTAGATCAAGGGACTGGAACAATAAAGCAAGGACCACAACAACATCCATCCAGCAATATAGCTGAAGAGAGTGAATATCCTCTGTCCAAAAAATAAAATAAACAATACGGCTATGTAAAAATAAAAAATAAAATAAAAAAATTTAAAAAGCTGAGAGTACCTTCGCAAAATCCACCCCTCCTTTAGTCCCACGGGTCTGTGAGCGTTGGATCTGATGAATAAATGGAGAAGATGACTATGGAACTTTTAGGGTATTCTCTACACTGTTTCCACCATTGGTGTGGGTCCAGAAATTTATCAAAAAAGGAAAAAATAGAACTTGAAAGATAAAATACATATTCTCACACACATAAATAAACACAAACCTAGAGATTACAAACTTTCTGCCAAGTTCTTGAATTAATTTTTATAAACACAAATACAAATGCAACAGAAATGACAAAATTGGAGCTGATATGCACAAATAAAATCGGTAATTTTATCACACTTCAAACAACTCAAACCCAGATTAATAAAGCTTAACACATAAATTGCAAAATAAATTCCACCAACAGAAATGATGATCAAGACCTCAATTCGACCAACAAACTTGAAGATATATCACTCTTGGGCCAAACAAAAATTTGGCTATCGTTAGAATTAGAATATAACCCGTGCCTTAAGATATATCACACTTGGGCCAAACAAACAAAAAAAATTTGAATAGGAGAAAAAAAAAAAGTAGAAAAATACCAAATAGAAATATACCAAACAGATAAAACTACATAATCATTCTATTCTGGAGAGGTTGTTTTCAAATTGGGTAAGAGAGAGAGTAGTAGAATCTCAGATAGGCTCATCATTTAATTTTTATTTTTTAGAGAAACAAAAAAAGAGATTAGTTTTTGGATATAGAAATGGTAGAGACTAAGAAATTGACTACAGAAAATATAACACACACACATGTATTTTAATCGCCAAATAATCACAAAAGATTAGACAAAAGAAACACAAATGTAGATATTAGATTAATAAATGATACAAATGATAGAGAATCACAAACCCATTTCGGTTTCTTGAACATATAGAAAAACACAAATGATACAAATGATAGAGAATCAAAATGATTGAGAATCACCTAGAATACCTACAAAACTCCATAGCAAATATTACCACCAAATGATACAAATGTAGATATTAGATGAATAAATGAAAGAGAGAACCAGAGTGTTAACCATAGTAGACTTGTGGGTGTTTCCAAGTTAGCCATTTTAAAACATTTGGCTCAATTCAACCAAATTCTAATTCAAATTGGACCAATAGATATTGGCTAAACCAAATGGGTTATGTATAAACTATACAACAACATGATTCCAATATATTGGCTAAACCAAATGAGGGCCAAACTGCAGGTGACTTTTGCAACTTGGCAACCTAAAAAGAGTCCCAAAAGAACCACTTAAAAAATGCCCCAGTAAAAACATCACACCCAAATCCTCTCCCTAAAATCACACCAAACCCAGATCATAAAACTAAAATTCTTGGATTCAATACATACTGCTAAATAATCACAAAAGATTAGACAAAAGAACATAGGCTTATTGAAAGAGATACAATTCCATTTAATCCAATAACAATAAAAAAAAAATGATACAATTTCTCCACAAAATAAAACTAAAAATCAAAATTACAGAAAGGGGATATTATAAACTAAAGTGGCATCAAGTTAAACCAAACTTGTGTGTTTCAGAACAATGTAAAGACCTAAAAATAACCCAAGTCAATTAAGAACAAATCGAACAAATAACCCAAGTCAATTAAGAAAAATACCTAAAAATTGAACAAATCAACAAATAGTCCAACAACCCAATTCAATTAAGATCATCAACACTCTAATAGTTAGTTGCCTTGATGAGTCCAAATCTTTTCATTATCAAAAAGCTACCCATAAGACTCAAAGTAAACACAATCCCAACTTTCAGAGCAACTAAACATAGTAACCAATTATTAGCCAAAGGAAACCCAAATTTCACTTTCTTTACTATTTCCCACACTTTCTCACCAACCAAACAGGACAGAATTGTTTTGGTGAAACTACTGATTTATGGGCTGATAAAAATCTAATGCCATTTGTGGAATACTTGATAGTTAGTTGCCTTAAAAATCTGATTTATGATGGACTAACCCAACACATTGAAAAAAAAACTAACCCAACACATTGAAAAAACAATGAAAAGTTTGAAAAATCTAAAATCTAAATATAAAATCTAAAATCTGATGGAAGTTTAAGGCCAAGTTTGGCAAGTTGCCAAAAAGCCAAAAAGTCAAAAAGTTACTCAAAAAGTTAAAAAGTTATCACTATTCACCAAAAGTCAAAAATTACGGCTGTATAACTCTCAATCCTAATTTTCCCCTACACACTAATTTATACAATTTTTTAATACACATTTTTTCATAAAAAGTCAAAAAGTTAACCCAAACATCCATATTTTTTTTCTTAATTTTTTAGTCCAAAAAGACAAAAAGTACACTTATTTAGAACACCCCAAACAACCCCTAAGTATTCATGGGATGAAAGTATTTGTCGCAGAATCTTTTATTCAATTTTGTCTGACTTTGATAACAAAAATACAACAATAATTTCATGGCTTTTCATAGATATCCATAGAAAGCAAAATAAGAGAGAAACACAGAGAGAGCATACCGTTTATGCTTACAAATTCACATGTTTATATATTCATAAATCTATAAACATTTCTAGGAGAGATAGAGAGAGTAAACTCACGGGAATGTGCCGGAAAGCGCCGAAGCCGGAAAACTTGTTCTCGAGGGTGATGTCTCAAGCGAAACGACTTCGAATTTTTGCGGATTTCTGCGAATAAAACCCATCAAATCCATTTCAAATTTTAGAAATCAAAACCCATCAGACCCCAACAAATTAAAATAGTTTACACCAAAATCATTAACTTTAAAGAAAAACCTAGAGAGTATCTGTGTATTTTTTCCTAATGTAAGAGTTTAGGTTATTCCTACACTCTTCT